AGAATTTTTAGAAGGGTCTAAAAATGCGTTTGATTTCCCACATAAATGCAAAAACCTGCATCTAAAATAGTATAATAGAAGCAAAGTTCTTCATGGTAAGCCTTAATAATATTTAATCAAGAAAGATAACGCATGACCACATACTGCTGCAGACACTCAAGCAATGCTTCAGAAATTTAGCTGGGACATTTTCAACTTTACCTGGCCCCCCAGTGACTTTCATCTTTCTCAAGCTGAGAGAATTTTTGGGTGGTAAACATTTTGGAACAGATGATGAGGTGAAAGAAGCTGTCACTAACTGGTTGAAAGAACTGACAGTGGAAGTCTATGATGAAGAAACCAAAAAAAACTAATGTCTCACTATGACAAGTGCTTAAATTGTACTATGTAGAAAAATAATTGGTTTTGTACTAATTACTTAATAAAACTTTTTCCTGTCATTACTGTTTTTTTTCCTTTTTTATAGCTAAAAATTCTATTTTCTGGATGCGGGCACATGATTAAAATAGTATTAGTTACAAAGTTCTATTTTGATTTTAAAAATAGCATGTATTTTTGCCAAGAACCAAAAAATATTAGAATCTAAATTGAATGCAAAATTTAACACATATATTTGATAATATTAAAGTTTATTAGTTTTTAACATTGTTCAATATACTGTTGTTCAATATTAGGCACTTATTGATCATATTAACTATAGTTCATGTGTCAGTGTGTCATTAAGCCTTAATCATGTATATTATGTTTTTCTAAACCATTTCCTAAAACCTAGCAACTTAAATGCAAAATAAATTTTGATAGAGTTCATTTCATTTTTAATGTTTTTTGTCAGACTTTTTGATTCAATACTTTTTAAGTTTCTGTCTCTGACAGCAGATAAGAGTTGAACCACCTTCCAGTAACAGTTTGTTGAGTGTTCCGTGTTTTTGAGTAGTTTACAATGAATATATTTGTTACAGTGTGGTGAAAGTATATATTTTCGGATTCAGGAAAAGCTTTTATGTTGATTGGTGTGTTTAATTTTGTGATTCAACAACATCAGTGGAAGTTATAATCACTGAAAAGCATGGTACCAAGTGGCAACAGATTGGGCTTTCTCCTACCCATACGGACTTTTCATAGTGAGTGATTTTTATATCACAGTGTTCAGCAGACAGCATGGATCATTTTGACCAGCTACTTGCCCTGGTCACATTGTTTTCTTAGATAGTCAGACTCTTTGTCAGGAAGTTTGGATTGGACCTTGAGGGCTTGTCTTTGTTTCTGCGGGCTTATTTTTGGTTTCCGTGTTCCCCACTAGGGTGTGTATCTCTGCATTTTGTTGGGGGTGTGTGTGTGATAATCTGCTTGGAAATTATAACATCCCGAATCTTTGGCCACGTGTTCAGGGAACAAAGGCCATCTTTCCCTGAACATCCAGTGGTCCATCTGACCCTAACCTGGCATCTCTGACTGGACAGCACACTAGTGTGTCCCATGTAGCCCCAACCAGTCCAGACAGGAATTGGTTAATATGGACTTTGTTGAAGAGGAGTTAATATCCACCATTAATTTGTGTTTAGAGACTATTCTTACAAGTGTCCCTTCCAGTAGCAATATAGCGATCAAAGTGGATGAAAGGGCCCTGGCTCATGATGCGGCAGTACTGATGCACGATGCAGCTAATCAGCTTTTAGGCATCATTCTAGAATTGCGGCAGAAGCAAGTCAATGCAATAGCACAGCCACCTTTTCCTCTCTATGCAGATATAATAAAGAAAAACTTGAGGCAAGTGAGTAAAGATACAAGGCTAATAAACGTGAACTCGGGTGGAACAGGTGGTTGAAATGGGGCACAGGACGAAGCCAACAGTTTGATTATCTCTCTGGTGGTCAAGCAGGACCAGACGAAGTCAGTGGCTGAGGAATTAGGAATTAATGGTGATTCTTCAGGAGAATATTTCCCCAAAGAACTAGGGCTAAATGTAGGTAATATTAGACTGCTTCCAAGCAGAGATATATCTATAGACATAAAATCTAATAGACACATGAAGGTCCTAAAGGAAACCATTCAAAAAAATACCCATCTTGTGAATAGAATTGTTACAAAGGAAAGGAAAAAGAGATCTCTAAGCATAGTCTTACTAAATCTCCCAAGAGATTTAACTGAGGCTGAGTTAATGGAGCACTTATACCTGCAAAATTTGAGCATATGTGACACTTATTCTAAGGAAAAATTTTTAAAAGAAAATTCTTTCCAGCACTTTATCACCCTTGACATAGGGATGAAGTTCAGCATGCAGTTCTGTCAGTGTCCCCTCAGGTAAGACTCAGCCTAATAGAGGCTGATAGGGTTTCCACTGGTTAGAACTCAATATGAGCAGATGATCACATCCCTGTTACCTATTGTTTCAATTGCTGTGGCTTTGGCCATATTTCTAGTAGGTGTGATCAAAAACAGAAATGCAGTTACTGTGTCAAAAACACAAGTTTAAAGAATGCCAGAATCAACACAAAGACCCAAAGTGCTCAAACTGCACCAAATATAATAAGGTAGTTTCAGAGAGTCATATAGTGGATACGAACCACAACTCACTTGCAGCCAACTGCCTGTGTTTGAAGTGGTACAAGGCACAAATCATTGCTAACCCTAAAAACCATTAGGCTCTTTCAGGTATCTGTCTTGTCCCTGATATGGATACTCACAACTTTATGCACATTAAACCTGGAAATGATTCAAAAATATTCAAATTCAATTGGGTCAAAATAATTTAACTACAAAACACAAATACTACAAAGAAAACTATATATTTAATAAATTAAATTAGTGCATTTTGTATTTAAAATAAACGAATTATAACAAAAAACAAAAATATTTTTAAAAATTAATAAATATATAATAAATTTTCTTTCATTTAAATAAAAAAAACCAAAGTAAATTTAAAATGCAAAAGTTGAAGTCAAAGTCGACACATTTTTTTCCGACTCTGACTCCACAGCCCTGATGGACCACCACTGTACGGTTAATCAGGCAGAGTCTGGCCATCCTCAGAGCCCTTCAATAGATCAGGAAGGACTTTGGCAAGCTCAGGAATAGGCACATAACCATCTTTAGTGATAGTAAGGTTGCGCAGATAAAAAAAACTCTAATGTAAATCTTCCTATTGTTAGGGAAAATATCGACTCTCTCAATTTGCTCCAGAATATCTTCAATGTCACCTTATTCTGGGTCAAAGAGCACTCAGGGATTTGGGGGAATGACCGGGCAGACCTGCTGGCTAGGAAAGCTACAGCATAGTTACAGGCAACAGGAAAGCTACCTGCATAGTTACATCTATATGAAGGTCCACCCTTAGCTGGTTGGTCAAGCAGCTGAGAGCCTTCACGCTCAACAAATGGCAGCATAGGTGGAATAATAATTCCACAGGCAGCATAGGTGGAATAATAATTCCACAGGCAGCATAGGTGGAATAATAATTCCACAGGCAGCATAGGTGGAATAATAATTCACCAATTCCTTCCGGTCCTGGTCGACAGGAAAAAGTACACATTTCACTCACTCTGTCTTATGAACTGATTCAAATAATGATAGGACACAGAAACCTTAAGACCCATCCTGCACAGTTCTTGAAGAAAAATGAGGGGTACTGCCCCTGCCCTCTTAGGGAGAAAGAAGACAGTTATCATATCATTTTCTACCACCCTAATTACTTCCAGGAAGGAAAACATCATCTGGCCATGTACAGTACTCCAGACTTGTTAATCAGCAACAAAAACATTTTCATAACCTTCAAGAACTTTATCATAAGTATTAAAATTCTCAGCTAGTATAGCCACCCTTGTGTTGGCATCAACTTTCTTCAGTTCCGTGTGAGTTAGTGCTGTGTTCTGAGTCCTTTAGCCTCTGTGTTATGTTGGTTTCCTTTATAGTGGCTCCTCACGAGTTTTAGATCTGTTTTGTACTTGTTCGGGATCTACCCTGGTTTATTTAGGTAACTATTATTGTATCAGCTCACACTTCCAGGGATATGTTGCAATTTTGTTCCATTTAATCTATGTACATGCGGTGTGTACACATTGTTATTGTATTATTGTGTCTGTGTTTGTTCTGCTTGCACAGTGTATTGAGTATTCTATATGTAGCACTAGGTATACATTTGGTTGTAAACAGCTCCCGGCCAGGCATCATGAGATCCCTCCCACTCTTTCCTTTTCACCTGTTCTTCCCCTCTTCCCCTGCCCTCCCCCTCTCCTTTACCTTTATTCCCCCACCTATCTTTGGCTACACCAGTGGGTAAGGCCTTCTCTCTTTATCTAGTATTTAGTATCTGTTTCCAACAGGTTCTAACTGATACAAGTTAATAATATCTGTAGGAATCTAATATAAACAGCTTTCCATTCATAGTCCATTTTGAGGAATTATTTGGGAGTAATTCTGAAATAAATTCAATTTTCTAGGTTTAAAAGTTTGTCTTGGGGTTCCATTTCTCATACATAAGAATATATAAGAATACATAATGATACATTAATGGTCTTCTTTTGAACAGTTTTATTACCAGAACTGTATACAGAAGTTTTAATTCTTTTTAAAGCAACATTTTTCACATTTATCCAAAAACTAATATATTCATTTAGATTATTGATACAATTTATATTTAATAAAAAAATTAGATTTACTCCAAATTTCTTATAAAGGTGAAAAATAATTTAATCATTATTTATGATATAACAGTGATCACACACACACACACACACACACAATGCAACTGATATCAGAGCAAGAATACTTACAATATTCATAATATATCAGAATACAAGTGATTACATTTTAAAAATATCGTTAGACACTATAAGAAAATAAAAAGAAAATTTGAATTCCAAAATGCTACAAATATTTTATTTCTAACATTTTGAAACAGATAAACGTAATAATACACATTTTGAAAATATGTATTATTATGTTGAACTGAAAGATTTATATCACAAAGGTTAAATAAATTATGTTTTCATAAAAATACTCACTGACTGTGGACTATAATTATTATATGTAGGACTAAAACTAGCACTGAATCTTCTTGTGCGTGGGATACTCAACAACAATGGTGAAATAGAAGTAGAACCATCTCTGTAACATTTATATATGTGTTTTTAGTTATCAAAAATTCAATAAAAATATATATCAAAATAAAACTTTAAGATATTTATAGCTAATTATAAATTTATGTATTTTAATCTCATCAAGTGACAGTACTGACTGCCTACTTGCTAACAGTTCAAGAGAGTTTAACATTATAATACATTAAGCCAAATTTTTTATTTTATATATTCTAAATTTTTGTGACTATAAAACTTTAATTAAAAAAATACTTTATTTATAGAATCCCAAAGTATGCAACTTAAAATGTACTATTCAAACATTTTAATAAAAAAAGAAACCAAGATCCCAAACACAATCCCCTCTGTAATTTTCTTTTATTTTTATTATAACTTTTTTATACCATATTTCCCTGATAATAAGACCGGGTCTTATATTAATTTTTGTTCCAAAAGACATGAGGTCTTATTTTCACGGAATGTCTCATCCAAAGGTAATAATGCTAAGCTTANATTTGTTGTCGCTTAAAATAATGAATATCTTTTGTCCTGTATGCGTTCCTAAAACATTCATATAAATTAAAAGATATCATCTAACTGATACTGTTATAGTCACAAACTGAATTCCATGTGGGCGAAACTGCAGGCACAGCTAGTTATTTTATAGTTCAATATGTCTGTTGTGGGTTGCAATAGACATATTAAATATGACCATCTGGCTGACAATCTTAACTGGAGATTATTTTAGGGGCAGGGATTCTGTTAAGAGCATCCTAAAAAATAATACTAAGGCTTATTTTCCGGTTAGGTCTTATTTTTGGGGAAATATGATAACAGATTCATGAATATGTCATACTAACACTAATTTATGAATATCTGATGGTCAGGCATACCAGGAAACTATTAGAGTATTGGGTGCGATCTAAACAATACTGCTTCATTTTCATAAATACATTTTCTAACAATCAGAGTTTTATTGGTGGTTTTGTGATGTTAGGTAAGTAATATATTGTGTTTTTGAAGTCTCCATAAAAAATTACTCAAAATATTTCATTTTTATTTATTTTATAATGAAAACAAAAAAGTATTAATATTCAGGAATTTTAATTAAAAAAACATCAACTTTAGAAGCATTTTGTACAAACTGTAAACAAGTCTGTTGCTATCTAAGCTCTGACTCACTTTCTTGTATGTGTCTTTTAACTGTCTCAACTAATAAATGTTTTGTCTCTACGCCGCAGCCATAAATATTTCAGGAAAGACCATCCCCTACCAATGTAAAGCAATTAGTGGTAAGTGGATAGTATGTAGATTGTAAATTCTAAGCTCCAATTTGCTTTCTTTTAAGTGGGTTGACTTTGTTTAAGCCAATAAGTGTTTTTTCACTAACCCTGGGCCAAAAATATTTCAGTAAATACATCTCCTAATGTTCTACAGCAATTAGAGGTAAAAAGGCAGATTATTGGCTGATAACATAGATAGTAAACTTTTTCTGAACTGTAGTTGGTTAATTTCTTTCTTTGTTATTAGATCAATGAATCATCCACCTGTGAAAACAGTGCAGCTAAAATTGCCACTAAATGCTATGCCCCTCAGGCTACATCTTTGAAATATGTAAACAATTGCTATAAAATTGCTTATTTTGACTTCTAATTTGCTAATGAAAAGTTGTTTGACAGTATTTAGACAAATAAACATGTTTTCAAAACCATTTAGCAATAAATATTCCTGGGAAACTCCACCTTTCAATAGTAAGTCTATAAAAGACCTTCTTGCTGTTAATTAGCTTTAAAATTCTTGTTTACATGACTTCTATGCTCTAATTGATCATTTCTATCATGACTGAATCAATATCAACCAATGAGCCAACCAAATATCAATCAATAATTTAGATTTCAGGCTTCTTGGTAAGTGACGTGGAATACAGATGTATGCCAGCTCTAAAGTTTCACCGTTAAGCGTACAAATCACTATAGTGATTAGGCAACTTTGCTGTCCTCTCAATATAAGAAAAAATTATGTACAGATTTGAAATTTTTTGAGTGCAATCTTTAGACACTTGAAAGAAGGTACTAAAGACACTATTTTTCTACATTATAAAGTTGAAAAACTACACAAATTTTTTAATTTGCATCTCACTATTGCAAGTTGCGCGCCTAACTGTTGGATATATATCAGGTAATAAAATTTAATCTAAATAATTTAAGCAGTTAAATTTCAAATAAAATCAAGAAGCAAGATTTATTCAGTATTTTATTATTCTTTCAGATTTCCCCACTCTGTTTCATCTCCCTCATTTTTAATGGTACAGCCTTAATTTTTTCATCATGAAAAAATTATCGTTAACTATTTAGTCCTTAATATATTGATATTTTACATAGTGCAGTCAAACCTCAGGTTTTCGAACTTGATTTGTTCCTAAAAGTTGTTCAAAAACTGAGACAAATTTTCCCATAAGAAACAATATAAAATGGACTAATCTGTAGGATTAATCCATTTTATATCTGGATTAATATTAATCCAGGAATTATATAATATTCTTAATTATATAATATTAATCCTGACTTATATAGTAAGTCTGGATTAATATTTTCTTTTACCATATTGGATGTACCCATATGGCAATAAATAACCAACACAGTTATAAAATAAATCTAAAATAATATATCTAGAACTAAATATTAAATTGGAGGTCAAGGTAGCATAACTGGTAGTATGAAAAGCAGGATTATGACCTTGTATCCAATTTAAACAAATCTTCAATAATTTTCTAAAATATTTATGTTAAATTTGAAATTAATTTTTAATTATTAATATTTATACAAAATTCTTGAACTCAAGTGAATGTTGGATTCAAAGCACATAACATTTCATTTTATTTGTCCAAAAAAACTCCTCTTTTAAGTGGTTATAAAAGTGATTCAATTCTTTTTATGAATCATATTACCTTAAAGTTTATTACTTATGAATTACTTATACAAGGATAAATTTTTTTAAACTCCAATGACAAGCAAAATTATTGCAACAGCCATAGAATTTAGTAAACAGTTTCCTACACCTTTCTTACTTGATCAACTGTTTCATTCATCACTGTTTCAGTAGCACGTTTGTAACCATGTTTAACAAAATTTACACTTTTGCCAAGTGCAAGATTCATTCTGTAATTCAATATCTAAAAAATGAAGAACACAAGAGAGCCAAAATTCACTGGAAAATGCATAATGTTTACAGAGAAAAGTTCTCTCAAGAGAGACAGTTCTGTGCAAAAATGGTTTAAAAAGTTTTGAATGAAGGCTACGAAAGGACAAGGAAAGCTACGAAATTACTGTAGACAAAAATAATATTAACAAGAACCTAAGCATTGACATCCATAAAAACTGGCTACAATTATTAAAATAGAATGTTTATACAGTCACAGGCGAGGCTGTACGCAACACTCGGGGAGGGGTAAAGTTACAAATTACGAGGCATGCGGGGGAGGCCGTCAAGTTGGGAGAAGATGGGAGGGGAAGGGAGTGGGAAGTATGGAAAGTGCCAGACTGATACCGTATACACAAATCACAACTATCGATGTAACAGACTGAAGAGGGGCGAAAGCCCGAAACGCGTTTCTGTATGAATTAAAAGTAGATGATGGAATTATTTGCCAAGTGTCGGTAAATGCACCAAGTTGTGACATAGAATTAGAAGAAACAAGTTTTGAAAAGTTTGAGAACAAAATGTCCATGATGAGGAGAGTTAAAGAAGGAAGTCTATTGTGACTGACAATGTTGTTGAACAAGCTAACAAAATGGTTCATGAGCACCATCAGGTCACAGATTATGAACTGCCTGCTGATTTCACTCAAATTTAGTTCAATGATGTAAACATTGGACTAAAAAACTATTTTAGTCCAATGCTTACATCATTGTGACTAAAAAAACTAGACTATCACAAGTTCTATGCACAGTGAGTTTCAAAGGCTAACAGACATTCACAAGACAACAAACATAGTCTGTCTTAATTAACATTTTTGCAGTGTTACCACAAAGAGAAAGATTTTTTTGGCCAAAATTCTGATAGATTAGCAAGGCATGAATCCAATTTGAAAATGGAGAGACAAAAGACCAATCCAAACAAATGCACATTTCATCATCAAAAAATGAAAAAATAAAATAAAATCAAGAAAGTTCAAACACATCTTATCCAACAAAGCTTATGACTACTGTGTTTTGAGACTATAGAGGATCTTGTCAATACAGTTTATGGAGCTTGGAATAACCATTACTTCAGTGACATTCTGGACAACTCTTAAATGCCTACAGAAGGTAATACAGAACATGTCACCAGCCTCTATGGTGATAACCTCCCCACACCACAGCACAGGCAACAAACTGCTTGAAAAGTTCAGATGGGAATTGTTTGACCACCTGCCCTATAGCCCACTTGGCACTGAGTAATCTCTCTTTATAAGTGCCTGGAACGCTGCTATTTTATAGCTAGTTTACACACATTGCAGCAAACCACAAGACAGAATTAAAGAATTAGATCACATCAAAGAACTAGCTAGGCAATATGGTATCTATCAAAATACAATAAAGGTCATTATTAACAAAACAAGAATAGACGATAAAGAAGTGGGAAAGAATAAAAGAATACACTGTAATGGAATACATGCCACCTCTAAGCAATATTTACAAAGAAATAGGAGCAGCAACAAACAAAAAGATAATTTTTAAAAGGAATCCCACAGTATACCAAATGCCATGCACAGACAAGGAAGACCTAGACCAAAGCTTGATTACAGGAGTGTATAGAATACCAGTACAAGATGAAAGGCGATAAAAAGAGCTATATTACATCAGAGCCACAGGGAGATCTTTAAAAGAAAGACTAAAAGGGCATGAAAGGAATGTGCAGAAGGAACAACCAATCACTGCACTAGCAACATATGTTATAGCAGACCCAACAGAAGTCACTGTGGATTGGGAAAGGGCTAAAATAATACAAAAGATCCAAGATAAGAGGCACTTGAAATGTGGGAAGCATGGCAGATACAGTGAAAACTGCTTAGGCGACCACCTGCATTTGACAGGCACCTGTCAAAATGAGCAAAAATTTCTGGCACTGAATAGTTTATCCATAGAGTCTTCATATAAGTTACCTGTAATAAACGACCACCTGTGTAACCAATGTTCCCTCTAAGCTGCACGGCTGCGCACTGCTCAAATTGCTGCCGCGCACGAGAATTTATGTGCCACGCAGGCGAGCATGCACACACTGATTTGTATTGTTGTTTACTTATTTCTCATTCTGTCTGCAACATGATTATTGCTGCGTATATTTCGATTAAATACATTAAATCATTGACAAAAGATAATATTTTGTATAAAAGTATGTTTTAAAATGAATTTTAATCTCTACTTTATAATTAATTAATTTTAATTTTTATAGGAAAAAATAAGATTTTATATATATGCTCAGAAAAATTTTTTACTCAGAGAAGTATATGTTCCGCTCATCTACAAAAAAAAATTAGAGGGAACATTGTGTGTAACGCGACCGCGGGCATCGATTTTTGGTCCAAAGCAACATACAACAACTGTAATAAGTGACCCCTTCCGCGAATATATCTGATCTAAACTATTGTTCAACAACGTTTCCCCCTCCTAATATAATGAATTGGTCTAAACTCGTTCGAACCCACCTTGGGTACCTCTCTTGCTCTTGAAATTAGGTGCAGGTGTTAATGAATTAGTCTACAAAAAAGGAAATTCATTTCAGTTTGTTCAAAATTGTCCAAAAAACAAATGAAATGCAAAGTGCTTTCATTAGGATATCGTGTTAAAGTTATCATAACAGCAATTAGTGGCGAAGTTTAACTGTGGAAAAACAAAATTTATTTTACCGTAGACCTACAGTATTTTCCTTGGGGGTATAAAATATTGTACACGATACAATTAATTGGCTGATCTCATCGTTTGATAAAATTTATTTTTATTTATTTATTTTGAAGCTCATATACAGTACATGTGTGATAAATAGTTTCTGTATCAGCCTACCCTATTTCTACAATATTTTTAGAAAAATAATATCTAAGAAATTTTCGCACGCAAAATATTCAGAAACAATAAATGCATTAATGCAAAAATTAGTTTTACAGGCAACCTTCCTTTTTTGATTCTGCAATGACAATCGTGGAATGTAATGTAATGAAATCATATAATGAGAAAAAATAATAAAAATAGTTTTATTATTAATTAATAATTTTTCTTATTGTACTTAAGAAAATATTAATTAAAAGATACAGTATTTTTAAAGTTAAAATAAGATTAAACTAATGAATACTAAAATCAAAGTGATGTAGCGATATGACATGCTTGTATATCGATGACGTAATACATGTTACTGAGGAGCAAATGAAAACAACCAAGTTGAATTAAGTCGGAAAAAAGAAAGTGTGCATTATAATTGAGAAAATGCGACTATTGTATTAATCTTTAAAATATTGGTATTAAATCTGTTTTATAAAATCACAATGACTCCTGTAAATCGAGTTATCCGACAAGAATAAAATACAATACCAATATAGCCCTATTGTTGAAAAAATTTGCTTATATTTGCTCACCTCGAGTTTTGCTTAGTAGAAATGGCTAGAAAGTGTGCAAAATACGTACGGAAATATGGTATTACAGCACCACCTGTCTAAAAGACCACTTTTTAAAGGAACCATGGGTGGTCGCCATAGGTTTTACTGTATATGACATAACAGGAAGGATTAGCAATAAATTTTAAAGAGTCCAGTAAAATCGAAACAGCTTGGAGAGCGAGCTTAATTTGAATATTCTATTATAAAATAAAGGGATGAGCAGTTAAAGAAGCAGGCATTATGGTGTTCTCTATGTTAGCAATGGTTTTATGTATTTGTTTGTATTTATTTACATATTTATTTACTTTTTATTTTATTTTATTTTATTTTAACTAGTTATTTATTCTTGTATTATATTTATTTATATTTTTTGTGTATATTGGTAGAAGTACCAATATAGTTTGTAATTATTTATATACGAGCCTGCACACTAGACATAAGGAAATTCAAAAAAGTTCCAGAACAAATATCAGTTTTGAAATCAGAATCATTCAATTGTTCCGTTCCTGATGAAGGCTTTCAAAATGACTGAAAACGTTAGTAAATTGGCTGCATTATAAAGATTTTTGTGTGTTGATGCTTGAGTTCTTGAAAACACAAAACAAATTTCAAATTCTTTATACACATGTACTCTATAAACAACAGCATAGTGTATAAATATATATTCTAATGCCATAAAAAGCAAGAATCAGCTTTGCTCAGTCAATGCTTTCTACTTCTGACAAAGAAGGCAAAATATAACTATGGACAATCAAACAAATGAGAATGAGTCAAGAGCAAAATGATAGATGATGTGGCTTATTTCACAACAGATACAAAGAAGTTCAAATCAAAAGTTCAAGTAATGACAAAACTGTTTGGAGAAATTATTGGGTTTCCTGCATAGCTGAAACCCCTATTACTAGATTCCCCATTAGTTGTTGCAAGTGTTAATCCACCAGTGATATATTATGATTGAGAACTGTGGCATCAAACTGACTGAAATCAATAAATGTTCAATTGAAAAATTTAAATGAAAAGCAAAAGTGAATGGAATGAGATGTCCAACCCACAGATACAAACCTAGTAATAATTTATGGACCAAAACACTCAGGGTGTCTATTTTTTTAAATAAATATGTTGTTAATAATTGTAGTAGTAAATATAGGAAATAAGTTTGTAATGTCACCTGAAAGTTAATTTGTACAAAATTTTCAATTTGGTTATATGAGAGAAAATATTTAGTCTCATAACAAGAAGGCGGGATGACATTGTATAGTTTTTCATTGTTAAATATCAGTAAAATTTAAAAAAGTTTAATCTTATAATACATGAACAAATCATAAAGTACTCTTATTTAATTTTGGTTAAATAATGTGCTCATACTAAAATTCTTTACTAAAAAAATTGAAATTACTGTTTTAATCCATGCACCACTTTTGTAACAATATATATACATCTACTGCACATTTAATATATAAAACATATAAACATAAAAGAAAATCTGGTTTCTTTTAAAAACATCTTTCCACATAAATAATGCCTACAGAATTTCCACAAATTTTTAACAGTATTGATAATCTGAAATCAATCACTAAACAGTTGTCTTTTCAACTTTATTACAATTTATTCTGGCTGTTAAATATTTCTAAGATTTTATAACTTCTGAAGGAATGGAAGTCTGTGTCTTCAATTAACTCAAAAAGTATCATCTGATGAAATTCCAATATTAAAAGTTTGCAAAGATTCATCACCAGGGGGAAGCTACAGAAATCTACATCTATCAGAGCATTTTTCTAGTAGATATAAAGGCACAAAATTTCTCAATTCCAACTTAAGAGTTCATTGGTCTTACAGCCATCTTCACATTCTTCATAAACGTGAAGATGGCTGTAAGAGTCATGAAGTCTAAGTTGAAATTTATCATTTTAATTAGATATTTTTCTGTGTTTTTTAAAGGAACATTTGTAAACTTGATGGCCAAGTAGCCTAAAAAAGAAGATCAGGTCATCAAAAAGTTTGTTCTGGAATATGAAGTGAATAAATGGTGTCTACCAAAAATTTTTTGGTCAGCCTGTGTCTCAAAAAATATCATCCGATGAAATTCCAATACAATATTCTGAAGAAATGTTTTAATTTTTGCCATAAGTGCCAAATTTTGTTCTCTACTACTGATAGTGATTGATTATTTTCCATTTAAATGAACCTATCAACATCCACAACAAATCAACAATAGATATTATGTTAAATGATATAGCATGTTTAGTATTTTAAAATAAAATACAATATAAACCAAATTTGGCTATTCAATTAAAAACATATGTAAATTTATCTATTACAATCTTAAAAAAAATTATTGTAAATACAGTGAAGCATTGAAAATCTGGATTTGGCCATTGAAAGATGAATATTAACTCTTTCAACAGTAACTTTGTTGTTGTCATTCTTCTGGCCTTGTATTATTGATGTTCCAACATTCATTCAGAATTCATAATTTTTTAATTTTGAAATTATGATTAGTGTATTTTTTGTTTAAATATAGTGATTCTATAAATTATATTTTGAATCTTTGTAAGTATTCCTACATTTCTTGTGAAATATTGGCTTGAACTTAAAACACTTAAACTTAAATTATAGTATTACAGGAATTTACAGTACTTGAAATGCTAATTTTCATATATATTTGAAAATCTGATGGGATCTGGCCCCAATTAGTCTGGATTTTTGACACTTCACTGTAATTAGTTAAATATATAAATTAACATGTTAAAAAACTAAAAACTTGTTAAATTTAGTTCATTTTTTCATTTTAATGATAAAAATAAAAAATAATATAAATGCAGTAAATAATAAAACACAAATATGTAATAATTTATTTTAAACAAAATTTTAACGCAAAAATTTTTTTTGAGACATTTTATACCTATGGGTTGAAGATTGATTATCAAGAACATTTATCATGGGAGCACTGTTTGATCGTTTTAAATTAGAACTATTATTATTGAGTGGTGGATCAACGTCCATTCTTCACTTCTTTAACCACATTTCCTTCAAAGAAGCTATTGCAGGATCACAAAACCTACTAAAATAAAAAAAATTCTTAATGTATTTATTAATAAAATTTAAAATAGTAAAACAAATAAATGCTGTAAAATTTTTGAAATAATGAAAATCTCACTGAAATACTGTTGTTATATTTATATATATAAATATAACATATATATATAATGTTATATTTATAATGTTATGGTTTCCTGCATNAAGATATTTCTAAAAATTCTAATATTATAATGTTATATATATAAATATAACATATCATATTTTAATATATAGCTTACAGAAGAACTAATAATAATTTCAAAACAATATTAATTTCACAATAATAAACAACACATGTTCAATGGTTTGCACTATCCTAGTTATAAATAAAATTGTAAAAGTAATAAACCAAATCTTAAGATAAAATTTTAAATAATTCACCACATCACATGCTACATTATTTTATACTTGACGAAATCTAATCGTTATCTAATTGGAATTTTTCACAGAGTTAAAAAAAATTAGAATTTAATTTAATGTACCACATCATGCTATCTCACCTCATCTTTTGCCATCCTACATGATAAAGCAATTTTACTATTTTCTAACAGAAAGATGTACTACCCGTGGAAAAAAGTTTGAAATCACCACTCATGTTTTCTGACATTAACATTTCTCGTGTTATAAATTATACATAAAATTGCAGTAATTACAGAAATCAGCTGATAACAAAACTACATTCCAATATGCAAATCCTAAACAAATAAACAGAAGCTAAATGCAAAATAAAAATTTACTTAGGACAAAAATAACAAACTCATATTGAAAAAACTTTATAATCATACAAGGCTGTGGAAATAAGTGTGAAATCTTCTGCTTACCCATTTAAAATAAGCAAAAACTATGAAAATTAGGTATTGCATATCTAATGCAAAATTACTTAAATACTCAAAACTGCTTGTGCACTTTAACTGACATCAGTAGCTTATAACATTGGCAGTTGAAATGGCTCCAATGGCTGAACTATCTGATAAAAATTCATTTATTGTTTTGCTGAAGAATTAGGTAACACATTGAGAATATTTATGGATGGGATTGTGTACATGTAAGATGAAAATAATTATAAGTTGTACCCCCCTATAATATAATACCAGTATATTATATTATGGAAAAGTTTGCTAAATTTCCACTATAAATACATAATTCCTGCTACCCACAATTTAAATTTTTTTCCATGTATGATTGCAAGTGAAAATGAGCCTACTTCTTCAGGAGGAGACAGACTGTGGACAGGATACACATACAGTATTTTGAAGGGAAACTTGGCATACCCCACTTTGGAGACCACTGCCTTAGAGCAATGTCAGTTGTGGAATTCTTCACTTGAAGAAATTTCGAGATGGACTGGCCATTGAATAGCCCAGATTTAAATCTAATAATGGTGGTGTTTATTAAAGCATTTTGTAAATTCTCAGCATCTATCAAGCAAGATAGGGTTAAAGAAATTAATCATGCCTAAAATAACATCAGTATAGAATTATGTAAAAACTTGTAGAATCAATTCCTAAAAGCATTACGGCTGTAATTAAACCCAAAGGAAGCCATACAAAATATAAAATACTGATTTTATGTTTATGATTCCTTACTTTTTCTACAGTCTTGTATGATTCCAAACTTTTTGCAAAATGAGTTTTGTCCTAAGTAAATTTTTATTTTGCATTTAACTGCTATTTATTTGTTATTTGTTTAGGATTTTCATATTGGAATGTAGTTTTGTTATCAGTTGATTTCTGTAATAAAGTATACACAAAATTGCAGTAATGATATGCAAATAATTTTTAATGCCAGAAAACTTGAGCAGTGATTTCAAACTTTTTGGATGGGTAGCATGGAACATTTAAGACAGTAACTATTCAAGAAATTTATTGTTGGAAAACTTTGTACTTCTGAGTCATGGTCATCTGGCACAACTATTCAATATACATTTTGCTATAATCCACATAACAATTTTAATGTAAGAATAATAATACAAATAATATAAATAGAAATTATTATATTTAAGAAACTTTTGTGGAAATAATTTTACAAGCAGTGCAATGTAACTACAGGATGATAAGTCTCTAAATGCAATGGACAGATACTTTCTTAATTATGCAATTCTCTGAGAAAGAAGTACTAAAGGAAGAGATAATTTACTATAATGCTTTGATTAACAATGAAAACAGAGCAGTGTGCAATGATAATAAATTTCTGAAAGCACTCTACCAAGAAAATGCCAATTTTGAGTCAGCTAATAATAAAAGCTCTTAGTTCCTGCTAGCAGTGCAAGAAGATGTGGAGGGGAGCTTTTCTATCCTGTACCATCTTCTCATGCTGAAAAGATTATCATTTACCAAGGAAAATTTGAACATTCATATTTGCCTAATGTTCAACTCAGCTAATCTATTGGATTCAGACAAAGATATACAATAAAAGTAGTGTTGAATATCAGGTAAACCAATAAAAGAAATAAGGAAATTAGTGCACTGAATGCAAGATATTTCTAAAAATTCTAATTTTTTCAAAAAAAGAAATTAGAAATTTTCTTAATGTGCTTTCTCACCACACCAGGTTGTATATAATTCAAATAAACAACTATCTACAATTAATCAGTAACCGGTGTGAAATTCTTTAAAATCAGCAAACGTTTTCGATTCCCCTCCTGGGATCTTCTTCAGGCTTACTTTTTTATACCTTTTGTTTGCATCACACCTTTCTTCGATGAAGTGCATGTTATTCGCACCACCCAACACCAGGGACAACTAAGAACTTTGGAGGCAATGGAAATCTTTAAAGCCGATTGCAAATCCGCACGCATTAATTTCAAAGAAGAAATAAATCTCTCTGCAGCATGGCAATTTTTAATTGACGATAAATCATAATATATTTTATAAGATAAATTTTATGAGGTATTGCACACAACGAATCCCCATTGGTAGAAAATTATATTTGAAATAACATGTGGATTCCTTCCACTTTCGGAAATAATTTCGAAAAATTGCACGTTCCATATTTTTTAAAAACATTTGAATTAAAGAATCCAGTTATAACGAAAGGTATAAAAAAGTAAGCCTGAAGAAGATCCCAGGAGGGGAATTGAAAACGTTTGCCAATTTTAAAGAATTTCGCACCGGTTACTGGTTAATTGTAGATAGTTGTTTATTTGAAGTATAGAAATTTTCTGCTATATTCTGCCTATCATAAAAAATAATATATCAGAAATTTTTTAAAACAGATTGTGTATGAACAAAATGAAGTACTGCTCAGGACTGCAAGCTCAGGGTCATTGAGAGTTGATTTTTTCCCAGGTCTGGAGAAAATTAAGGAGACCATACTGGTTCTTATTCCTATAAATTAATGTTACTTTTACTAACAGAATTGTTTAAGACTACTTTTTATTAATAAAAAAAACATTCTACATATTTCATTTGTTCTTTAATGGGCAAAAGAGGCCCATTAAAGAAATAGAAGAGTCCACTCTATCCTGGTCCCCATACAAGTGTTTGACATTTCTGGTTAAGCTGTTAGTTTAAAATGTGTATAATTACCTTTAGTCATCAAAATTCACTTTATAGCTTATTAGAATGACAGTTATTGATTAGATTAGATAACTATGCTTTTAGTGACTTTAGACAAAGGAAATACTGTTTGATGAGTTTATAATTGCAATTCAAATTGGCATATACCCACGAATGCATCTGTATCCACTTGCAAATTGCCTTTTAATCACAGATAACTCACAAATTAGCTGCATAAAATTATTATATATTGATTAAATATTTTTGATGTTATAATGCTATAGTTAAGAGTATACAAGTTTTATTTAGGCCTATAGGTTTAAATTGTACTTATTGGGATTCATCATTCATCTTACAATTTAAAATATGACTGACTAAATTTCTTAAGAATTTCATTCTACTATTTAATATAATACAGAAGCATTATAAGTTTGTGCTTCAGAGGATTAAAACTGTAATACATAAAAACAGAAAACTGATATCAGCTAATGTTTTAAAATGTGTTAGTTTCCAATACATTAAAATAATTTTTGAACATATTAAAGAATAGGTAATTTATGACTGTTTAGATGGAATTAGCCAAAACAAAAACAAAATTTTTTAATATCAAAGGTTACATATAAGATAGAAATTAATAGGCTTAATTAATAAGTTAGAAATTAATTGCACCATTTTCAGCCCTTCTGTAAACATGAATGGATGGCATTTAGCCTTTACACTTATACCTATACTATACTAGCTGTTACCCGCAGCTTTGCCTGTGCAGATTTTGCAATTTGATAGAAATAACCTTTCCTCAGTACTTCACTAAGATTCTCAATCATTAGTTGTTACTAATTTGGTAAAATTACTGATTTTTGTTTCAAACTATGGACTGCTAATGCACCTAAATTCAAGTTTCAAATATTATGGGATTCCGAGATACGATAAATCTGAGTTTAATTTTTTTCGAAACATAAATGATGTTATCTGAAAATTCCTAAAGTATAAATATTTACAGAAAAATAGAGTTTCAGTTACCCCAGTACCTCTTTGTAACACGTTTGTGGTACTGCCTTTCGGGGCTATGACTTTTTAAGCCTTAATCCTCTCCCCCATGGGGAATTTCAAAAAATCCCTTCTTAGTGTGCATATTCATGACGTACCCTAACTGTGTACCAAATTTCACCTCTTTAGGTTCAGCAGTTTGCTCTGGGCGGTGATGTATCAGTCAGTCAGGACATAATTTTATATATATAGATTAAATTATAAAAAAAATTCAGATAGTAGCAAATCCTTTAATACAGTATAGTTTACAAAATAAATAATTATCGTGCATGATTAATTTAACAGAAATGAGAAATACAGTCAAAGAAAGATAAAACAATAAATAGAAACATAAATTATTACACACGTGTATAAAAAACAGGAAACAAACCAAAATATCAATAACTCCACACCTTCTATACTTTTCCAGCAATGTTTTAATCAAAACAAAACAAATTAA